AGACATCGCTACCCGCACATTCCTGGGACATCATTTTCTAAAATACGACTTGTCAAAAAAAAGTGAAATGTTTTAGAATTGTTTATTAAAAGCTATAATTAGTCTATATTACCCTATCTTCTGCTTTAAAAAATACACCAAAAAGGTAGAATTTTATGTTATTTATTTTTTAAATCATTTTATTGGGGGCTCTTACAGCTCTTATTACATTCCATACATCAATTGGAGCAGGCGTATTTGTCCATATGTTGCCATCATTCTTTTCTAGACATTCACTTTCTATCTGAGCCCTTGGTATCAGCTCCTCTTTTTTTGCCTCCCTCCCCTACCTCATGATCCCTTGATAACTTATAAATTATTATTATTTTCATGTCTTACTCTGACCGCCATCTCCCTTCACCCACGTTTCTATTGTTCCTTCTTCACCGCCTCCTCCCACCTTCTCCCTACCCTCCTGGGGAATTGAACTTTCTTAAATAGCACAAGTGTTATGATTTTCTAAATGCTTTTTATCAGTGGCAAATCTCATCTGATTTGCTATCTCCTCTGAAAATTTTCTGGAAGCTCTGTGTAATAGTCTGGGTACTTTGGAGAAACAAATCCACAGGGACTCATGTATAAGAGAGAGTTTTATGTAAAGAAAATGTGCATCACGAAAACATCCCAACCCAATGCTGCCCAAGCCCACAAGTCCAACATTAACCCATACCCAACACCAGTCCACAAAGTCCTCCACCTCACAAAACAGAGGCAATGATGCCGACTGCAGGAGGAAAGCTGTCAGTGAACGAATAAGCATCTCAGCACTAGCAGGGGTCTCCACACGGCTGCTCCAGCACCCAGGGCTGCATCGGGATAGGTCCATGTAGCTTCTCCTTGGGGATGTCTTGTAGGAAGTCAATCTTGCAAGCTGAAGCAGGGAACTGCTAAGGCAGCTGCACCCAGTGCAACCATCACAAAACAAGAGATCCGAGAACTAGAAAGGCGAGGCTTCACCACCCATTTATCCCTCCGCCTTTCAACCAGCCCCACATGTGATTATCGGCCAGGCTGGCACAATTAACTAACTCACTCTGTGAAAAAGGTAACCGGAAGGAAACCAAGGCTTGTTCCCCTCCTCAAGCCGCCTGGGCAGACTACAGAAGCAGCCACGTCTCTAGCGCCACCTTTTGGCTGGTTATCACTGTCTCCATAAAGCCATGGATATATGGAGAGACCTAACACACGTGGCTAACACTCACATACACGACCACCACTCAGTCATCTGTCACCTTGCCCTGCTGCTGCTGCCTTCCATGCACTGTGATGCTGGCAGCTAGGCCAGTGCTATTTCAAATACCTGCTGGGCCCCTCGTTACGGACAAGCTTCATTGGAGCTTACAGACTCAGACAAACTAGGCAGAAGTACCCGGTGATCTATCATAAACGAATTGGCCTGTGAAAACCCTTATGAATAAGAGAGGAACAGTGTCTGAGACAATGCTAGAAAATAAGCCTCTCTGTCTGGAAAGCAGAGAAGAGCTGCCTCCTCAAGGTTGAGTGGACCTTGCTAATGGGGAAATGGCCTAAGAAGTTGGACTATATGAAGAAGAACATGGCATCAGTTTGGAGGAAGACTCCTTAACAACATACACCATGTAGCTGACGGAACCTAGGCTGATAAAAAGTAAAGAGGACTTGAAGCACTTATCGATGATGCTCAAAGACCAAAGCTTTCAGTATGGACTGCATGTGAAACATAAAGCAAACCAAAATCCTCACAACTGGACCGATAAACAACATCGTGGTTAACAGAGAAAATACTGAAGTTGCCAAAATTTCATTTTATTTGGCTTCACAATCAATGCTTATGGAAGCAGCTGGCAATAAATCAAACAATGTATTATATTGCAAAAAGCTTCTAAAAATAACCTCTCTAAATAGTTCACAAGCTATGCCGTCACTTTAAGGACTAAAGGTGCATCTGACCCAAACCACGGTATTTCAATCACCTCATGGGCATGCAAAAGCTGGACAACAAGTAGGGAAGACGGAAGAAGAATTGATGCATTTGAGTTCAGGTGTTGGTGAAGACCATTGGATGGATATACCATGAACTGACAGAAGACGGGGCAAATCTCTTTTGGAAAGAGTGCAGCCCAAAGGCTCCTTTGATGTGAGAGTGGTGCAACTCTGTCCCACATACTTTGGGCATGCTATCCAGAGAAGCCAGTCAGTCCTTTGAAAAGGCCATCACATTTGGTAAAGTAAGGTCAGAGGAAAAGAGGACGAGCCTCAATGAGATGAATTCACACAGAGGCTGTAACAATGGTCCCAAACATAGCTGTGATTGTGAGGAGGGGTCAATTCATGTTTGGTTCTGTTGCACACAGGGCTGCTCTGTGTACAGAGTTGGAGCCAGCTCAACAGCATCTAACAAAGACAACGACCCATCATCTCGTACAGCCATGAGAGTAGTGGTGATTCCATGCAGCAGTCCCAGGTTTGATTCCAGGCCAATGCTTCTCACGTCCAGCACCACCTGTCTATCTTGGAGACGAGCTATTGAAGAGGTTTAAGTGGAGCTTCCAGACTAAGGCAGACTCAAAAGGAAGGCCTGACAATCAACTTAGAAAAACAACCACGGCAGATATTGAAAACCCTGTGATCACAATACAGGAGATTCACAACTGATCCTGGGTCGACATAGGACTAGGCAACCTTTCACTCTGTTTTACTTGATGCTTTGTGAATCAGGGCTGACTCCACAGCTAACAATAATATCAATGGACATTAATCATGTGTGATGTGTCATGGTGTTATACACATTATTTCCTTTTAGCCTGACATTTGATCATGAAACTAAACCTTAGAAAGACTAAAGATTTTCTCTCATCACATAACCAGTGACTGAAAGGGGCAGTTTCAACTCTAAAGTCCCTGCTTTCTACCATTAAACTCCACGGCCTCCCAAATGGCCATCTATATGGTTTCTTCTGAAGATTGAAAACCCCCTCTTGAAATCTAGTTATGCTAGCTGATGGGTAACCTCAGTTCAAACTCTCTATACCTAACTCAGACCTCCCACACCTTTTCCATGATCTAGAGGAGATCTCAGTTCTGGGTAGCTTTTTCTTCTACAAGGCATGAGACTATGCTATTCTCAGCCCACACTGATGCCAGGCCACACCTCGTTGTAACCACAGGACATTGCCAACCATCTCAGCACGAGGGAGAAGACTAGCTTTAAAGTTCCAGCACATTGGCTTTTTGGTGGCCTTTTACTAGCTGGTCTATAAAGAGCTAAGCCGAGTTCTCAGGTTCAGTGAGATCCACTTCTCAACAGCAGCAAAAGCATCCCCTCAAAGTAGATGTGGCGTGAGCTTCAATTTAAACTCATCACCGTTCAGTATAAGCCCCACCCAAACCTGAATACTCACTGGAATTAGTCTCACCTTTCAGAAATATCCTTAAAGTACTTTTGGTTAATTTTTAATTCAGGTGACTAAACACTGAGTTGGCCATTCCTAAAACCGTTGATCTAGCTCAAAGATGTCCCTGCATGCATTGCCAGAGTTACTTAGCAGACTCCTAGGATAGTAATAGAACTAGACCACATCAATCCCTTCTACAACAGTCCTACTGGTGAACAAGCGAAAGCGAAATAAAACCTGTGAAGCCCAACATTCATCATTAGCGTATGGGTAGACACAAGCGTTACTCAAGGTGCTAGGTGTTGATATTCTGGTAAGCAATCTGATATTGTGTGAAAAACCAACACACGTCCAAAAAAACCTGAAAACTTTGGACTTTTCTTGATATTCCAAGAAAATAGTTGAAAAGAAGGGTAAATTTTCAATTATACAAATAGTCCTTTGCAGCACTAAATAGTAAAAAGATTAAAACTGAAGTGGCCGAGATGAGAAGAAATGGTTGCACAAGCTATTATACCCACAAATGGGGTAGCCTTTGAAAAGGAGGCTCGCAGCTGCTCTTGGTGCCCAACCATACAATCAACATTCGATGAAAGGGGGGAGGGGCAAAGAGTAGCAGAACTATGAAAAGTATGCACAGCTTTGCACTAGCTCTCTTAATGAAGATCTATTGGGTTGTATATGATATGTGTCCTTTTCTGTGAATATTTCAATAAACCAACATCCCAACCAAGTCAGAGGCAGAATAATTTGCATTAGTAGGGGGAAAAAATTACCTGCTCCCCCCGCAAATAGCACCACATAAAACTAACCAGAAGTTTCCATTTTTTATATGAATTTATTTGATAAATTTAATCTAAACATAAAATAGAATCCCCTTCTTCAAAGACCTGAAAAAAAAGACAGTTTGAGAGTTTCCGGGATAGACAGATTTACCCGGCATCATCAGCTGAGAGAAAGTATAAAAAAGAATTCTCTTCAGCAATTATTCTTCGTAAGCAGATAAAACTTCTCGTAGACTTCAGTGTAAGGTCAGATGGAAAAGGAGGCATCGGGTGCCTAACGTGCAGGATGCTGAACACGGTTAGAAGCTACAGCACTGAAGGTGTCTGAGAGGAAGCTAAGAGGGCACCCATCTGATGTCACTCAGCAGGAGAACCTTAGTGGGATCAGCACCTGTTCTCAGAATTTAGGGGGCAGAAATCCATTCCTGTCCATATACATGGCATTGGCCAATTTCTCAAAAATGTGCTCTTACCACCCAAGCACACAACACACTCATCTGTGAACCTAAAAAGTCATTGTTTCTGCAATGGCATTCTTGACGGATTTGCTTCCACCTTCAACTTAGGGCCCACCTCCAAATATGTAGGCATCTTGGAGGCTGATCTGTGATTAGACAGTGTCTCAATGAGCATACACTAGGGCCAAGGAAAGGCTTCACGTGGAGGGCTTCGACCTCTTTATGATGCCCTGTATCTGGCAATCCAACACTGGCAGAGCACAACCAACCACACTGAATGGGGCTGCTTAATTGGCAGAGCCGTTGCCTATGAATTTCCTCTGTACCCTTAAAACTCAAGAGCCATACTTACCTGGCGGGGGATACCATGATCGCCAAGAAGGTTTTCCCAGGGTGAGGCTTATCCATTGCACTCCGGATGTGCTGACCCCTGAAATTTCCCCAAGTGTGGGAAACTCGACATTTTTGGTAGTGAGGGACTGCATTCATGCTCTCCCCTTAAAAAAAAAAGGCGGGGGGGTGGGATCAAGAGCCATGTCTTAAATGTACAATAAATGTTTGTTAAATCAAAATTGTTCAATTAGATACTCTTTCCTCAAAAATGGCACCAGACTGATCAGTGTTTTCAGGGATCAAGTCTGCCTGGTTCCCTTAGAAAGAATAGAGCAAACCTGGCTATAGAATGGAGGCGGGGAAAGCCAGAAGATGGCAAGTGTGGAGGCTGGTAGGCTACTACCGGGACTCCTGTGGTCATTTAGGCCAGAAACAATTGTGGGTGGGCGGGTGAATTCTTCCATGCTCCTGTAATGGAAAACGACACAATAATGGAAAAGAACAAATGGTGGAACTACACAACCACAAGTACGAATCTCTGAAGCAAAAGATCATGTGTGTGATGCCAGGTCTCCAAATATTGGCAGTTTGATTCCATTTCTGTGAAATTTCGGAACAAGCAAAACTAATGCTTGGTGATAGGGACCAGAATACTGACTCCCTTTGGAGTGATATTAAGAAGTTCTGGTAGTGCTGTCAGATAAGCATTGGACTATCAACCAGCAAGGTTGGTGGTTCAAATCTACGATCTGCTCCATGAAAGAAAGATGAGACTTTCTGCTCCTATAAAGATTTACAGCCACAGAAAACCTATAAAGGGTTTATAGAGTCAGCATCGACTCGGTGGCAGTGGGTTTGGGGGTGGTATTAATTGGGAAAAGCACAGGGCGGCAGCTGGAGCACCAGAAATGTTCCCTATCAGAATGGGAGTGTGTATGAGACATGTATGAGTGCATGAGCCCCTCCGTATGATTGTAATGATACAATAAACATTTGGCGCTTTTTCCTTTGTGATCTATATTGTAAGTCCCCTGCTACATGTAGAAATACTGTGATGGCACAGCCAAGGGAGGTGGCAGCAGAAACAGGCAGGAGTGGACCTACCAAAGTGATGTGTAAGAGGTGAATTGGAAGTGAGTTCATGCATATGAAGCGTTTACGACAGAGCCGGGGTCATAGCAAAGCTCAGCAAATGTCTGCCCCGATGATCACTGTTAACGTGGAAAGATTGATGAGTGGAGTAAATGGAATAATGTAGGGACTATCTTTAAGAGAGAGCTGGTGGTGCAGTGCTCAAAGTGCTTAGGTGCTAACCAAAGGTTTGGCAGTTGGGACGCACCAGCGGCTCCGAGAGAGAAAGGTGGCAGTCAGCATCTGTCGCAGTGCCGTCCTGGGAAACCCTCCGGGGCGAGGCTACTCTGTTCAATCGGGTCGTTAAGAGGCCAAATCAATATCACAGCAGTGTATCTGACTTGGGGTTTTAAAGTTCTTAAAGCTCTGTTTGGAATAAAGGTCTCAATAAGTGGTAGCTTTAAAACTTTCAATGAATAATTTATTATACTGTAACCAGAACTGGAAGCACTCACAGCCAAGAAACCTGGAAGACAGCTACCTTGCCAACTGACTAGAAGAGATCCAGTCCGAAGAAAGGTGACCCAACAGAATGAAGAAATATCAAGAATTTTATTAACATCACATGCGAGCAAAGGTTTTCCGGGGAACACTTAACAAAGGCTGCAGCAGTGCTTCGACAGGGAGCTTCCCGATATCCCAGCTGAAGTCAGAAAAGAGCATGGAAGAGGAATATCATTTCTGACGTCGAATGGATCTTGGCTCAAAGCAGAGAAAACCAGAAAAAAAAAAGGTTTGCTTGTGTTCTAATGACTACACAAAGGCATTCGACTGTGTGAATCTGAACAAACTGTGGATCACCTTGAGAAGAATGGGAATTCCAGAACACTGTATTAAGCTCATGCAGAAATTATACATGGACTAGGAGGCAGCTGTTTCTGCAGAATAAGGGATGTTACATGGTATAAAAGCAGGAAAGGTTGACTCCTTTCCCCACACTTATTCAATCTAAATGCTGAGCAGATAATCCAAGACGCTGGACTATCTGAAGAACAGGGCATCAGAATTGCAGGGCTAACAAGCTACAATACGCAGAGGACACAACCTCGCTTCCGGAAGGGAGGCGCACTTGAAGCACTTGCTGGTGAAGATCAAGGATTGCAGCCTTTGGTATGGCTTACAGCTCAATGTAAAAAGAAAAAAATCCCCACAGCTGGGCAAATAGGTAACGCTGCAATAAATTGAGACAAAATTGGAGTTGTCAAGAATTTTATGTTCCCTGGATCCACAATCAATGCTCACAGAAACAGCATTCCAAAAATCAAATGAGAAAATTGGGAAAATCGGCATTGGGAAAATCGGCTGCACAAAATCTCTTTAACGTGTTGAAAAGCAAAGATGTCATTTTGAAGACTAAGGTTAGCTTGCCCCCAAGCCATACTAAGGTTAGCTTGCCCCCAAGCCATGGTATTTTCATATGCATGTGACAGTTGACAATGAATAAAGAAGACTACAGAAGAAGAGATGCATCTGGATTATGATGCTGGCAAAAAATATTACAAGTTCCATGGACTGCCAGAACAAACAAATCAGTCTTGGAAGAACTAGAGCCCGAATGCTCCTTAAGAACGAGAATGGCCCCACATGGAAGAAGCACACCAGCCTATGCAACCACAAGGTGTCGAAGGGATCAGGTGTAAGGCATCATCAGAACAAAAAATCTTACCATAGTGAATGATGGGGGGAGTGCGGAGTGGAGATCCAAAGCCCATTAGTAGGCCACTGGAGATCCCCTTGCAGAGGGGTCTCGGGGAGGAGATGAGCCAGTCAGGGTGCGATGTAATAATGATGAGAAATACAACTTTCCTCTAGTTCCTAAATGTTTCCTCCCCGCTCCCACTACCATGACTCGAATTCGATCTTGCAAGACTGGCTAGACCAGAGGAGGTACACTGGTACAGATAGGAACTGAAAATAAAGGGAATCCAGGACGGATGAGCCCTATAGGACCAGTGGTGTGAGTGGCAAAACAGGGAGGGTAAAGGGAGAATGGGTAGGAAAGAGGGAACCGATTACATGGAACTGTGTGTGACCTCCTCCCTGGGGGACAGACAACCGAAAAGTGGATGAAGGGAGACGTCGGACAGGGCAAGATATGACAAAATACCCATTTATAAACTATCAAGGGTTCATGCGGGAGGGGGGAGCGGGGAGGGAGGGGAAAAATGAGGACCTAATGTCGGGGGTTTAAGTGGAGAGAAAATGTTTTGAGAAACGATGTACAAATGTGCTTTACACAATTGATGTGTGTATGGATTGGGATAACAGTTGTATGAGCCCCTAATAAAATGTTAAAAAAGAGAAGGAAAAAAATTTAAATTAAAAAAAAAAAAAAAGAACGAGAATGGCAAAACTTGGTCTCAAGTACTTTGGACATAGGTATGATCAGCAGAGACCAGTCCCTGGAGAGGGACATCCTGCTGGCTAAAGCAGAGGAGCAGTGGAAAGGGAAGGCCAACAACATGGATTGACTCAGGAGCTCAACATGGGGCTAAAACAGAAGAACAATTGTGAGGATGGTGCAGGACCAGGAGGTGTTTTTCTACTGCACATCGGGTTGCTATGAGTTGGAACTGACTCAAGGGCACCTAACAACAACAACAACAACAACAAACTTAGTTGTATTCAGATAACCAAGGGTTCCACCGCTCCAGTTGCCATCAAGTCAATACCGACGCATGCTGACTCCACGTGCGTCAGACTAGAACTGTGCATCATAGGGTTTTGAGGGGTGGGGGGTAGTTTGTTGTTTTTTCTTTTCAGAAGTAGATCACCAGGACTTTCTTCTGATGCACCTCTGGGTGGATCAAACTTCTAGCCATTCAGTTAACAGCCAATGGTGTTAAGTCTCTGCACCATCCAGGGACTCCAAGTGCATCAACGCAGTCACTTACTTAGGGACCCCTAAGGAATTCTAGGAGCCCCTCATCAGAAACTTTGGAAAGCAGTGTGAAGATAAGGCCCTCTGGAGTTGACACATGTACACTTGTACCATTCTTCTGGATGCCGCTTTGTCACTCCAGGGTGGTTAGCACTGTCGTTTTGTGATTGTGTGTCAAAAGACTCCCTGATAGGGTTAAAGCTCGTCAGCATTGTGTGGAGAAGGACATTTCAGCACCGTCTGCCAGGCCTGCGAGTCTATTAAACTGTCCACATGATAAATGGCAAACAGAAGGTATCGGAACAGGAGAAAACCTACAGCAAAGCACTCTGGTCATAAAACAAGAAGAGCCAAAAAGGATTAGGCCAAGTACACAAACCATCCTTTATGATAAAACGTTCACTTGCAAGGAGAGAGCGAGGAGACTGAACTGTAAACGTCTGGGTCCCCACAGCAGGCACTACGACCGACCGCCGCGCAGCCCCTGGTCCCCACATGTGGCTCACAGATCAGTGAGGGATGGTTCAGCAGCTCCATCTGCGCTTCCCTCCAAGCCTCTGGGGGCTCAGTGGAAACACACCCTGTCGCACTGTGTGCAAAGAGATGGGATTCCGGTCGCTAGTTTCTCTGTGTATCCCTTTTGCATACCAAAAAATAAATAAATAAAACAGTCTCTCTGAAATGGAAAATAATTTGGTTACTGCTCTTCAACTATAAATTATCTCGAGGGAGCAGTCACCCGGTGCAACGCTGCCTCGCTTCTAAATTTAGCTTCCTCCAATGACATCTCTGTCAACAGAGCATAGGCAGTCAGTTCCTAACTACTTGGGCTTTACAATGAGACCCATTGAGCTCCATTTCAGAGTCGCCAGGTAATAATGCCAATATTAAAAGGCATATGGACTATATGAAACAAATAGGTGACTATTAAAGTCCCAAGGTAGTAAGGCCATTGTATGTATTTATTCTGCATCTGTGAAAGCTTTTGGAGACACTTTTATTTATTGTGCATGAGGTGAAGGTTTATGCAGCAGATCACCAGTTTTCCATTCAACAATCTCTACACACTCTGCTTCAACTCATCCACTGCAACCCCTCAGTGTACCCTCGCTGATCCCACTTCCTTCCTGTGCTTCCTGTTTCCATCCCCGCTGC